CTCTTGATGTTTTTAGTTTTATCTTTGGCAACGTTTGGGATTTCTGTTGTTACCCTTTGACAATTATATACTGACTGAGTTTCATATATTGAAAGTAGCGAAAGGTAATCCACACACCTAGTCAGCATATGCCCCTACCAATATGTGAAGCCACCACCAGCAAATACTGATCAACAGTTAGTTTGGTTCAGCAAAACCTGCTCCTGCACCAGAACTTCAGCTACCATATTGACATGCTCCTGAAGTAGCAGCGTGAATGAGGAAGGTATGCACATGTTACTTTGACTTGAAAGAGTACTGTCTGGACTTTCAGAATTCTTGCTTGGTATGAGACATGCATGTGAACTCATTGTGAACAAGATATGTTTACTATCTATTGAGACACAAAGGTGCTAATTTATGGTGAGATGAGTTCAATGTGGTAGATATTTTTTTTCTATGTCTGGGTTACATTTGAAGACATATTAGATGTATGTATTTGTATGTTTTGCTAAAAATTATGATTTATTTATTCTGCTCATTACAGCTGAAGGTTACTCCATATATGTACGATTTATCTTTAGTGCAACACCTGCACAGCTTGAGGAGGCATTAAGAAATTTGGGCCTATTAGAAAATGGCATCCAGTCAGAATAATAAGGTTTGTTTTGGATTATATCTTACTCTACCACACATGACCTTTTTATGCAGTTTTTAAAGGTCCTATATTTGTGTTCTGCAGCAAGGATATTGTTTTGGCTTTGTTGCATTTGAGATGCCGAGTTCGGTGCAGATGCACTTGAGGTACACTTTTTACCTCGCTATCCCTGCTGTAAATTGTGTTCTATATTATTTGCTTCAAATGTATTTTAATTAAAGTTCTAATTTTAGTTGTATGTCTATATCATAGTGTACTAAATAAATAAGCTCAATTTTATATCTTGTGAAGATATTCTTGGCAATTTATGGGAAATGGGTTCCTTTTTGCTAATCCATTTCCTAATTACACTTTGAAGAAAAAGAAATGTATTTCCTAATTATGGCTTAGTGCTCTCGATTTAAATTTATTTCACAGATTTTCTTTGTCTTTGCCCCATTTTTGAGGGCAATAGAAACATAGGAGAGCATGACATCAGCTATTAGTAGTTTTCTATTACTCTATTCTGAGGAGCGCATGTTTAAAAATATTGTCAAGCAAGACATTCACTAGATTTGTTTTGACGACTTCCTCTGGCACTTCCTTCATCGCTTTACATGAATTTCTCAAATTAGTGTGTCCAAAATAATGTCCGCCTTACTGCTGGCCCTAGTCGTTTTGTAATGGATCCATCAATTTCTTGTATGTTCTTTACTTCTTTGTTCTGTATCATACCAGGTGATTATATGAAGTTTATAAACTCAGATTTGACACTTTCTTGGCTGCATAGAACTTATAGCATGCGGTTATTTATGGAGGTGATAAGTTTTGTTGTTTGGAAATTTAATATAGCTTGTTCTAGTTCAGGCTCAGTTTCCTTCATAGCTATTTATGGGATGTACTGAGTTGTAATGGATAATTGCGGATACCATTAATTTGTGTTGTAGTTTTGGGTTTTAGTATTTTATCTTTTCAGAAGTGGTTTTTTACAACTTCATAATAATGAACTTAATCGGTTGACAGTTGAAGGTGCACAGAATACTATATACTTTCAAGATATTTTTTTTATAAATATATTCTAGGAACTTAATGATTACATTAGATGATATCACCTATTCATTTTGCCTATAATTTTGAGGGTTTAAAAGTTTATGTATTGTTAAGTGTTTCAGAACTTCAATAAATGAATTCTTTAAGACGTAAGGTTAATCTGGCGAAAAGATATCAGTTAATTTAGTTTATTTTGACAAATTTTCAGTTACTTGGATTGCGTTTTATCATAAGATAAGAAAGAAAGACCCTTTGTCTTCATCGTATTCATGATCTCTAGTGAATGCATTCAATCTGCTGGCTTCTATGTTGCAACTGCAGATTCAACCAGATTGGAAATAAATTATTGTTTACTTTTTGGCCTTTGACTATTTGCTTATGTTAGGTCCTTCTTAGAAGGCCTGACTAAATTGGCAGTGCAAGGGGTGTTACTGTCTAAGGCTTAACTAAGGATGTTGCTCAAGAGATGAAGCTGGTGGCATAAAAGGATATCCATTCTTTAAACATTGCATGTCTCTCCTGTTAAACTATAAAATCTTAACTCACTTGGTCAATGCGCTCTGTTGGTTTATGATCTTTGTTTCCTTTATTGTCATAGAAGGCTTATTTTTTGTCTTCCGTTGCTTGATTTGCTTACATGATTCCCATTTTTTCTATACAGATACCATACATGATGGTCTTTGTACTTGTCATGCTACCACATAAATTTTGGCAAATGCATCAATAAATTTGTGCTTCATAAGAGTTACCAGGAATGCTACACATTATATCAAAGTGTCTTTCTTGATTTTTAGTAAATGTTTTTCAGGTGATAGGAGTGGGGAAATTGGGTTAAGTAGGTTTTGGGACCTGCTTTTGGTATATTTGATTGTATAGTACTGATGTTCAATAGCCAACTTTACTTTATCTTGCCCGCTATTGTTTGATTCTGAGCTTATTTGATGCGATGTACTTAAAAAATTAAAAATTACAGGCTTCTCCTATACCAATTGGGATCGTCAAGCAGATGTTGAGGCAAAGAGAGCAAACTCTCGAGGTTAGTTGACAGTGTAGTCATCTTTTTATTAGTTTTGACTACTCATAAGCCAACTTAACTATATATATGATAAATTATGTGGTTAATGATCACTGGTTATTTTGCAGTTAGTGGTGGCGGCGGGGGAAGAGGTAGGTTTTCTTCCGGAAGAGTTGCGTTCCGCAACGATAGTTTCAAGGGTCGTGGAACTTTGGTGGAGGTCGTGGTTATGGCAGGAATGAATTCAGAAACCAAGGTGAGGGTAGGAATGAATTTAGAAGTCAGGGTGAATTTTCAGCGCGACCAAAGGGTTCAAGTGGTGGACGTAGCGGAGAGGGACGGGTGAATCAGAATGGAAATAGAAGGGTGTGCCATCAAGGAGGGGTAATCGCAGTTCTGTTCCAGCTTGAAACAGTCCAGAAGATCTTTTTTGACAGTACAAAATGAGGGCTTGAAGATTCTAGAAATTCTTGTCTGATTTTTATAGTTGCAACTGCCTGCTTATGAGAGGATTCTTGCGGTTTCTATTTTATCTTGAGGAACTTCATAAAAAGCTTACATAACATGGAAGGGTATTTTGGTGCAATCATGTATTTTTTTTCATGAAATCATCTGTATTTTCATCTCTCAACCTTTATTTGTGCCCACATTTACACTGAAATTCATAGCAGTAGCGAAATTCAATGAATACTGATTTTGTTGATGTTTTAGTTTGAAGTTTTGATATTTGCCTCTTATTTGACTCGATGCTACAAATGAATAATGTCATTAGATGACAATTACACAGGAGGATAAAACTAAAAAGCGTAACAATATCAATTATAAAACTCATTAAAGCAAATTCATTCGATTTCTGCAAATTGATACCAATTTGCGGCAGCAAAAGCTGCAGACCCACCAGCTACAGAAACTAGAGCCCACAACTTGCAGGCAACCTGCCATGGAAATCTTCTGGCACAAGATAACCACAAGAGGGGCCTAAAAGCAGTAGCCCCAAGCTAAGGCTGAACAGAGCCCCTGGTGTTCCAGGATCCGTAGCTGCAGAAACACTCCAAACTCTTCTGCTTTAGAGAGGAGACCCAGTTTTCTCAATGGCTGATAGAGAGAAACCAAACTTCTCAGCCGCTGATAACAGGCCGGCTTTCTCCAGCTTTTGACAGTATTGTTTGAGTTGCTCCACTCTTGTTAGTAGCTTGACCGGAGGACTAGTCGCCAGTGGCCGGTTCCTGGGGCCTGGCTCTCCCAGAGGAAACACAACTGTGTTCTGCATTTTTCACCATGGGGCTAATGAGAAAATTGCACTGAAATTCTCAAATGAGCATATACCACTTTCTGCTAGGTTTTTGTTCTTACAGTTGATTTGAGCACCAGTAACAACATACTAAAGCAGAATAGTATAAGTAAAAAGAAAAATTCTTCCTTCTAGGCCAACCCAAACAAGAGTAATGCTCTCATATTATCTACTACGGTCACGATGGCAGAAAAAAGAGGGTAAAAACTGACCTTTCTGGAGCTGACGGTTTTGGTGGCAGATGGAAGAGGTTTCTGGTGGGTGGCCATGGATTTAATGACAAGGGCAGATGAATTTGGCGTTCTTGGAGGAAGATGGATGCATGCGATTGTAGTCCTCCGCTTCTGCTCCCAAAATTGCTGTGGCCTCCATACTCTCTTCAATTCAATTGAATCTCTCTGGAAATTCTGAATGAGTGGTGGACAGCACAGAAGTGGATGATAAATGACTGGGACATCCACGTGTCAGAATACGTGTGGTACCTTTTTTGCATGTTATTTTGATTGGTTAATGAGAATCCATCTTATTTAAGAAAAACTACCAATTTTATGCAAACAATTACTATATTTAAGAAATAACAAATAAAAATAAACTACCCCTGGACTTTATCTAATAACAAACATTATCCTAAGTTTTTTCAAAAAAAAAAAAAATCTGTCACTGTTTATTGACCCATTTAAAACTTTTATTATTATGAGTTAATTTTATATTTATGAATATTTTTATTTATTTTTTTAACACCTAAAATTTAGTTATTTCAAACTTTTGGAAATTTTATTATTTGCCCTTTAGGTATCATAATAACAATTTATCCCCTATTGTTATATTTTGTTAGGATTAGTGTTTAATTTAACTGATTAACATGTAAAATGTATTAATTAGATTATGAAAACATTAACTGAGTAATGACTATAAGGAGTAAAATGTCATTTCAGATACTTAGGGGTGAATTTTTTTTTACGGTACCTTAGGGAAAAATGTAATAAGCTCTAAAAATAAATATATGTATATGTTGACCGCTATTACCGATGTATGAAGGTTATATAAGTTATAGCTTTACATCTTCTAAGGTCTTTTCTTCTAAGGTTATTTTGGTAATTGCGTCGTAAAGCCCAATGCAATATAGGTCTCTCATCCAGAGTCTCTTTAGCTTCCCTCTAAACCCAAACCCTAGCATCGAAATCGAACAGACACTCTCTCTCTAACAGAGCGTCAATGGCGGACTCCGTGATTCTCTTGATAAGCTGAAAACCATCTGGCATTCTCAGATTCACGACGAGGAGAAATGGGCCCTCAACGTGTTTGCTTTCTCTCTCTCTCTTTCTTCTCTAACTTCTTCAATATTTCGTTGCTTAATTTTTTTTTTTTTTCAATTCATCAATATCTTAACTCCTTATTTAGAGTGTTAGGATATGATAAGAAATAAATTTCAATTTCTCTGTACTTGGGTCCTAGTAAAACTGAGAAACTGTTGCTACTTTATTTTATTTGAGGGTTAGTTTTGAATGCGCTCTTCTGGCATTGTTTCTTGGACGTGGAATCGATATTTTAGTGATGGTTAATTTGTTTCAGTGCATGAATTTGGATTCTTATCATTATGTAATATAAGAGAATTTCACCGAATAATCAAAATTGATTATTTTATCTCTACTAGTTCTTTTTCATGCTTGTGGAGTGACTTGAAATTTCGTACAAGAAACAAGATGAAGGGTTTGTTTCTCTTTATGTTTGTTTTGATGAATGGAGGATAAGTTTAGACAGCAGGAATTGTTGTTAGAGTTCATCTTTTCTCTCTCTCCAAGCTTTATTTGGTAATGTATCTGACAAGTAAAGTAAGCCTTCAGAAGAAGAATATGTTTTCTGTTTTCGTGGGAATTTTAGTAAAGAAAAGCATGATGTCAGGTTTCAAACCCATCTAATAAATTTTGCCCTGCATTTGTTTTGTTCTGAAAGAACCAAACACTAACCCATCTTTGGAAATTCTGTTCTCATTTCACCCGATGAATTGCACATGTTTTAACTACTGCTTTTCTTAATGGCATTGTCTTTGGACAAAATTTTGAATTGTCTGAATGTTAGCTTTCATATAGCGTTAATACCCCTGTATTAGATGTCCTAGGTTTCATGAATGATGGATATGTGTGGCTGGTGGTAGGGTGCTTCTTCCATTCATATACTGATTTAAAGTGAACGCCATTTTAGCACATAACAATGTTAAATTTTTTACCTGCAAAAGTCGAATCCTGAATTAGTTTCTTAGATTGGAATCAATGGATTCAGTCATTCCTTAATGCATTCAGGTTTCTGCATTTCATAGTTTGCCTCGTGATTATTTCATATTTAGATTAAGGGCTTGTTGAAAAACTGTTGAAAAGTTAATAGAAACATTTGTTTCTGATCTGAGTAAGTTTAGAACCGGCTCCAGATTACATGTCAGACCTAGAAAATTTATGGTAAAAAAGGAATGAGATTTGGGATCTAGAGTGCATATTGAAATAAGCTCCGGCTGATGTGCTTGTTCTTTTTCCTTTACCTTGTGATTTATATTTTACAGAGCCTGCTGTGATAAACATTAGTTACATTCAACTTGATGTTCAAATTCTATTGCTAAATCCTAAATGTTATTTTATTATTGAAAACAATGAACTCTTTTTAAGCGTTAGTTCTCTTCAGATGCAGTGGAGTCTTATTAGTTTCGATTAGATGTCTAATTTGTCTCCTGGTAAGTGTGATTTCATGGTTTCCCTTTTTCTTGTAGAAACTGCTGCGTGCTGCTGGGTTGTTTGCTGGATCGATTTTTCTGATGCGCAATTATGGTGATCTTATGGCAATATGAGAAATGATGGAGTGCCCGTCCTTAGAATGAGCTGATCTTCTAATGAAGTAAACGCCATGTGGGTTTTCTCCCCACCCCATACTTATTTCTAAAACTGAAGGTGTATTTCATAATTTTGTGGATCAATTTTAGGATTATGTTATAACTTTTGTGGTATACTCTTTAGTTGAGTAATGTTCTTCAGTTTATAATTTAATATGTCAATTAAACAAAAACAAATAAACAAATAAAATTATAGGTACTAGATTTATGAAAGCCAAAAGGAAAACCAAAATATTGAGGTATCAGTTCTGGATAGTTGATTTCAAGATTTAACCCCCTGTTTGGTACACTTTTTAAAACACTATTCTACTATCCTATTTAATGTAAACAGTAAAAACACAATTAGTTAAAAACTCAATCATATTCTATTTAACTTAAAACATACAATTATCTTTCACAATAAAAATTTATAAATTAATAAAAACATCCTCACCCATCCAAGCTATTGTTGGTTGCCAGTCATTGTCACCGTCGGTCATCGCCAGCGTCGGAACGACGCATGATTAGTTAGATTTGATCGATCATGCGTTGATCTGGTCGAAAACAACTAGATTTGGTTGTTGATGACGGTCATATCTTGGTCGTTATCAATGACTAGATTTTGGTCGTTAACAACGACTAGAAATTTGGTCGTAGATCTAGTTGGAAACGGTGGATCTGGTCGAAAAATGTCAGATTGGTTCACGACTGGCCAAATCCAATCAGTCGTGCACCATTTTGATGACTGTCGGCCACCGTCCGACGGTGGTGGCCGACTGTTGACAGTCGATTGGGTGAGTAAAGGTGTTTTTGTTAATTTATAAACTTTTATTTAGAGAGGTATTTAACTAAATTAACAAATGTAGGGGATTAACAAATTGTTTAAATATTTTCAAAAATGTACTAAATACATTCTTAGAACCCTATCCTATACTATTCAGAATATCATATTTCAAATAATATATCAAACAGGCCTGAGTTTTTGCCGTTAAATTTTTATATTTATAAGATTTACTTCAAAATGTTCAATTGGTTTTTCTTTTTTTGGGTAATCCGGTAATTTCATTAAAAAATAAAAAGAATACAAAGAAATAGGAAAATCTCACGTTAGAATCATCTTGGACATGCCCAAGAGATGAAAACGAGGCAGGGGCCACATCAAAAACAAGCCCCGAAAGACAAAGTGAGTAGGAGGCCACTATACAAAAAAGTCTATGTAGTATGCATCAAAGAGCAACTATAAGAGGATCCACTTCACGCAACTGGAATATCCCATCTTTGCAAGGTAGAAGGAACTCTGGGATTTCTTTTGAATTTGAGAGACAATAACTGCAATCTAACTTCTCCACAAATAAGCTTTTCAATAGCTTCACGGCTTGATGTTCATTTCTTGCCAAATAATGTAGATAGAAGCCCCAAATAGTAATCTGTTAATAGTAGCAGTAATGCCTTTGCCACGGAAAGAGGTTGCACACCATAAGACAATATTATCCCAACCAGAAAAAGGAGCTCAGAAATTACCTTTAGATTGGACAGCCTCCTAAATAAGTTTTGTGAAAGGGCAATTAAAGAAAAGATGGTCATGCGAATCACAAGGACCATTGCAAAAAGAGCAGCTCAAAACTTCATTAGTGTGCCAGAGTTGACAATAATAATGAGAGGTCACTCTTCCTAAATTTATATTTTTTTTTTTTTTTATCATTTCATAAAAAAAAAAAAATTGGGGCTCAATGTAATTACCCCTTAATATATAAATTTAATTGATTTTTTAAATCACTGAAATGGTTCATAGAGGACCTAATTATGTAAAAGTCTATTTCAGACTTCTATTTTTATATAAATTATAAAAAAAAAAAATCTAATCTTACCTACCTTTTTGTATTCACGCCAAAAATGAAATTGAAAATTAGGTTATAAAACCCCAAAAAAACACTTGAGAAGTCAATACCCAAATTCTGAAATTTATCACCAATTCAAATAACTTAATTTGAAAAAAAAAAAAACCAAAAACCAATAGCCAAAGAGACCTTTCGTGTTTGATCTCATGTCACAATATTTGTCAAGAGAATAATATTTATATATATAAAAATAAAAACCTTTCATCTTTCTCTTTCTCTTAAATCTCTCAGTATCTCTGTCTCTTTCTCTCGTTGTCCTTCCATCCTTTTCTTCGTTCTCACGCTTACTCACTTCTCTTTTTCTCACTCTTTTAAGACCTCCTCCCTCTTCTCTCTACCGCAAACTACCCACTACCAGGTATTCTCTTCCTTCTTTCCGACTTTTTTCGCTTCATTTATCTTTGTCCTTTGATCTGTACTTCTTGTTTGCTGTACTATCTCACTGATCTGGATCAAACCATATTTCAAAATTCGATTTTTCTTTCGGGTTGTTTTATTTTTTTTTTTTTTTTGTGTTGTTTACTTTAGGTGTTTTTCAGGGTTTTTGTGCTTAATGGAATTAGGGTTTGTTATTGCGATTAAATGGGAATTTTTTCCTTGTTTTAGTGGACTTTTTCTTATGGGTATGTTGCATTTTTTACTTTATCTTTGTCTTTTGCTGTTTTGTCTCTCTTTGCGAATAGCTATCTGGTGTCTGTATGGTGCTTTGCTCTTTCTGACTGTTGCTTTATTTAGTTAACCTCGCACTTTGTTGAGTGATAGCAAAAGATCTTCATTCTTGGATTTTGTCTCCTTTACATGTTTTGATGGCTTCTGGGCTTGCAAACTGATTCAAATTGTTTCTGAATTTATACGGTTCAGCTGTTGTGGTACTTAGTTATGATACCCCTATTACTAGATTGGAGATTTCTTAAGTTGTGACTGATTTACCTTTTGGTTCTATTTACTTATGAAGTTTATCTGAACCCAAGGCACGGATCAACTATGAAACTCTCCTTCCATTCCAGTTTGATTCCACGGTTTCATAGCGTATTCATATTAAACTTGGATGTGCACTTGTAACACTGAAACAATCTAATCTTAATTTACTTAGTCTTGGGGCACTGGAATTGCCTCTGTTTTGTATTTGTATTTCTTGTTATTATAAGTACCTTTTAATATATAGTATAACTACTTGTATTCATAAATAGTAGCCTTTTTTTATTTAAAAAAAAAAAAAAAAATCTTTCAACAGAAAGGGCACCTGGTGCATTTGGAAATGTTCTTTTATTAATCTTTGTTTATAGATATGTTTTGCTAATTGTTAATGTTTCCTAACTTGTAGATGGCAGCGCAAGAAGGCAGTGCAGCTCCAAGTGCCCAGTTGTTGGCAATGCCTTTGTGGATCAGTATACCATATTTTCACCAGTCCCCGGGTTTGGTGCACAGATTTTACCAGGATTCTAGTTTGCTGAGCCGTCCAGACGCCAAAGGTGCTATGACAACAGTGACAACCATGCAAGTAAGTTATCAGGAACTAAGATCGGTAGGAATACACTTGACATAATTTATATAAATGCATGTTGAAATTTTAATCTTTTGATCATACTGTTTAAACTTTTTACTAATTCCTGATCCAATTGGAAGATGAGGTATTTACTGGATGCTGGTAGGTTTCAGCTGATACTAAAGATGGATCCAATCATTGTTACACTAAATTAGGTCATTTAACTGGCATGGTTGAATAGTGGTGTTCTATTTAGATGAGGACCTATGCATTATAGTGATTATCCATTGATCATTGTGTGAGCTAGCATTTCAGTTGTGTTGCATGTGCAAAGGGCATAAGAAATCTGATGCTACTTAGTTTGGAAAGAATGGACGATGAAAATAATTAAGGTTGTAGGTTTTAGAGATTTTTGAGCCTGGAAATGATTAGTTTCTGTAAATAAAATTTATGTCAGCATTTCGATAATTTTTACAGTTGTGTCACCGATAAGTGATATCTTGAAGAAGGTACAGATTATAAAAAATGTACCCTATCCAAACAACAGTCTCACTATCATGACAGATTCTTCGGGGTTCGTTTAAATTGATTAGTGTAAAATATGACCTTCAATTAAAATTTGTTAAAATTGAATTGAATTATGTATTTTACACCTCTGCTTTAGCATAAATTGAAACAAAATTTCATTGTTAACTTGGAGCAGGCAATCAATGACAAGATTCTGTCCTTGAATTACGAAGATTGCATAGCAGAAATAAAAACGGCTGATGCACAGGAGTCATATGAGAAAGGGTGATTGTTCTAGGACTGGAGTTTAACTGGAAAGGACAATGTGAGAAAGAAATTCACTCAAACTTTCTTTCTAGCTCCACAAGACAAAGGCTACTTTGTCTTGAATGATGTTTTTAGATTTGTTGAGGAGAGTGAATCATTGCAATCAATTCTGACTCAATAATAGCATTAATGAAAATGCTTTACAGCCAATGTGACTCAGGCACCAGGTTGGCATAGTTCTATTCTCATGAAAGATCATGCTAAAATTAACTTCAGACTCGAATTATAGAACTGTTCTTTTTTTTTTTCTTTTTTTTTTTTTTCCAGAGCCTGCTCATGACAGACATGTTCCAGTGGACCGGCGAATCGCCATTGAAGGTGAAGATCTTGATAATGGTCCTGAAGTCTATGATCCATCTGATAAGGACGAAGGGTCAGTGATCGAAGAAGAAGTTGTTGAACCACCAGTTGTTTCTGTTCAGAGTGAGTTCATACAGTTGATGATTCAGCAACTGTGACTGAGGAGGATCTTCCTCAGAAGAAATCATATGCTTCAATTGTGAGTTGATTCTCTTGATGTTTTTAGTTTTATCTTTTGCAACGTTGGGATTCTGTTGTTACCCTTTGACAATTATATACTGACTGAGTTTCAATAGTTGAAAGTAGCGAAAGGTAATCCAACACCTAGTCGAGCATATGTCCCTACCAATAATGTGAAGCCACCACCAGCAAATACTGATCAACAGTTAGTTGGTTCAGCAAAACCTGCTCCTGCACCAGAAACTTCAGCTACCAGTATTGACAATGCTCCTGAAAGTAGCAGCGTGAATGAGGAAGTATGCAATGTTATT